GAGTTCTATACATGATGTAGAAGATCCAAAAAGCCTTTGCTTTCAGAAAAGGAGTTTGAGGAGATACTTTACTTTCTTTCCCTGAAAATAAGACCTCAATGGAAAATAACCAGCTTTGGGAACTAGAAATCGAAAATGCCAGCCCCCATCAGCCTGTCCTTGCCTTCTGTCATCACCATTCTCCTGCTTGCTGGCAGCTCTGTGCAGAGGGAAAGGCATGGCCAGGCTGCTGGGGGCTGGGTGTGTGATCTCTAGTTTTCAACGCTGATTATTTTCTGGCTGGGTATTATTTTCAGGGAAACGTGGTATAGGATATATAAAGGCAGAAATAAGAGGAACCTTCCACACCCGTGGCTGCTTGCCAAATGGACTTTTTCTGGCCTTATGACACATAGCTAAGCACGCAAACCTGTAAATCAGACTCTCCAAGATTGAAACCTAATTCTCAATTATCTGTGAGAGCTTTGTCTGTTATTTAAACTGAGCCTCAGTTTCTTCATATAGTACAGTAGGGTTATTGTAAGAATTGAACAAGACACTGTACATAGAACACTGATACACAGAACATACCAAATAAGAGCTGGCTATTGTTTTTAAGCCCCATGGACCCCTGATAATGAAAGTTTACCCTTAAGGGATAGATATCTCTAACTTAGTTATTTCCTTGATGAATAATACAGCATTGCCATCTGTCCACTGTAATATGTGTGCCTATAACACGTTAGCTCACTTGTAATAGGAAGATAGGGGAATGGTCACTGTGTGACGTGAAAGTTGTGTCATTTCAAATGTATTTTTTCCAAGGCAAGGAGAGCCAAGGTAGCTCTCCTTTAGGCTATTAGTTTAGCTCTAAGTACAGCAACTTTAGTAGAAAAGACTTTAAGTTCTTTTTTTCTCTTTAATTTCAAATGAACACCTACACTTGGGTCTCCTCCTTAAAGCAGCACATTCTGGCTTTATGAGTTCCAAGCTGCAATTCTCCTGTGCCTGCCTTCAGAGAAATGCCACTGGCTCACAGAACTGAGAGTCAGAGAGTCTATTGTATTATTTTTGTGCATTTTTAATATTCCCATTTAATATTATACAAATTTGGGCTTCGCTGAACTGCTTGCCTTGGCTTACAAGTTGTCTATTAAGGTACCAATGATTGTTTCTATTGGTCAGCCAATTACAAAGTTGTGGCCTTTAACTCTATTTTTCCCATAAGCTCGGTTAACTTTATTGTGTGATTTTGTGGAGTGTGAGGTTTTTCAGGAATGCAATACAATGTTCTAACAGATGCCCTATTTCTTGTCAAATGCTGCAGAAGGCAGCAAAAGCCGAAGCAAAGACATGTAAAGGAATTGAACAAGGCCATCCTTAGGCAGCATGATGTGCTCATAGAATCCAGGCTGCAAAGCTGGCCTAGCAGGCTCTGAGTTCTGCGGGCTGTGAAACTACTTCCTAACCCAGGGCACTAAATCATGATGCTTAACCCTGCAATGAGGTGGAAAAAACATTGTTTCTTTAGGTTTCTGCTTCACACAGACAATATAAAACACCATAGATTAGCTAAGTATATTTCTCAATAAAATCTCTTCATTTTCTTTGAAATTTGTTCATGGAAATGTGCTTGGATTCTCCTTGTTTTTTGCAGGTGTAGAATTCCTATTTTCCTAGCATTCCCATGAGAATTTGTTCCTCTCTTTACTGGAGCACTGAGCACAGTTTTCCTCTTATTGAGAAGTGTGTTTGTTTACCTTAGTTTAAGCAAAAGTCCTTGAAGGCGGGGACTTTAATTCATCTCTTTATTTCCTTCTATTGCCCAGCACATGTCTTTCACATAGCAAGGACTTCATAAATGTGTACAAAATGAGCAAGTTCCTCCAAAAGCACTGATTTACTCTGGCCCTTTCTGTGAAGAATATATGACAAAAGTGTCCTACAAATTCCACACAGTGGTTAGAAGACATGGCTTTGCATTAAAATTTTCCTGCAGCGTAGTTATTGGAAACTATTTTGGGAAAGTAGCAACAAAGCATGCAACATTTTATGTGGAATATTTTATTCATAGTTTTGAAAAATTAATAAGCACCAGACAGGAATGATTTAATTTGACTGCTCTGGTAGTTCCCGGGTCTCTTTCCAAGGCTCTGGGGGTTGAACAGTTTCCCAAGGGAACACAAGTTCAGAACAAATCTCAAGGTGGTTACTGCTTAGACAGAAACTCACTGACCAATGGCAGGGTTGGGTTGACACCAGGAAAACCTGTGTCAGGGCCTGGAGTCAGGGGATGGGCTCACCGCTTTGACTGAAAGCTCCATTGTTCCCCTCTTCTTGGTGATTGCCTCGGTATCTGTTCAGTGTCTGCTGTCCAGCCCCGCCCTCAAAACTTTAATAATAAAACTTTAATAGTGAGCTCACAGTAAGTAGCTACCGGTAAACTTATTTACAGCAAAAATAACACTTGCATAGCCCTTTATAAAATATACAACACGCACTGGTTCACTGAATCCCCAAACAAGCCATTTGTATTAGTTTGCTAGGGAAGTCGTAACAAAGTACCACAGGCTGGGCCAGTCAAGCAACAGAAACGCATTGTCTCACATGCTGGAGGCTGGAAGCCCGAGATCACGTTGTCTGCTGAGTTGGTTCCTTCTCAGAGTCGTTCCATCTCTCTCAGCCAGCTCTGGTCCTTTGCTGAAAATCTGTGATATTCTTTGCCTAACAGATCTCTGCTTTCCTCTTCACACAGTGTTCTCCCTGTGTGTATGTGCACCTGTGTCTGTGTTCATATTTCCCCTTTTAAATTTTAATTTTAATTGCATTTATTAGTGATTTTTTGAGATCAGATCTTGCTATTGCCCAGGTTGGGATCAATCTTTTGAGCAAAAGGAATACTTCACCCTCAGCTTCATGAGTAGCTTAGGTTACAGCTGCATGCCACATGCTCAGCTAAATTTTCTCTCTTAACAAGGATGCCATTCATCCTGGGTTACAGGACTACCTGACTGAAGTTCTGCTTCATCTTATCTAATTATAATGGCAATGAGCCTATGTACAGGTAACATTGTATTCTGCCGTACTAGGGGTTAGGATTTCAACAGATGAATGAGGCGGGCAGTGCATGCAGCTATAACAGTTCTATAGTAGAAAAAACAAGAATTTTACAGATAAGGAAACTGAGTCTCAGAGAGATGAAATAATGTACCTAAATAAGGTGAAACACCTGTATCACAAATACAAAGCTGCTGTCTAGCTTAGAAATCAAGGACAGTCACATGAAGCCTCCTGCTATGAGTTTGTCTATGTGCTCTCACACACCTAGAGAGTAAGAATGGGCTGCAGAGGTGTGAAGAGCAGACGCAGTCAAATGTGGTCTGGAAGAAGCCAGCAGATTCCCGGTTCCTGAGAACTCCACGTGTGGCCGCCCCTGTGGCTGTCCCGCATCACTTGAGTGAACTATTCACGCAAGTCGTTTCTTATAAGTCTGTTACTCCTCTCTGGTGTGCCCACCCATTTGCCAAAGGGAGTCAGGTCGTACAATGAAACTCTTCAGGGAAGACAGGAAAACACTCCATGCTTTCTTTTTCTCTCTATAGCATCATTCTTTGCCTCTCTATGCCTTTCTTTTGTCCTTCCTATTGAGTAACCTGGGAGTGGGTGTGGGGAGTGTGTGAATCGCCAGTGGGGTGACAGGATGACTGAGGACACCTGCCTGATGATGCACACAGCAGGGCAGGCAAAAGCAGACCAGTTTCCCAGGCGGGGCTTTGCCAGCACACCCTCTTTGACCTGTGTCTGCTGTTCTGCTGGAGTCACTCTGCACACCTAAAGCTAATCCCCCTGGGGCCTGGCTCCCCTCTGCAGAGAGGAGGGACACACCCCATCTGCGTATGCCTCCCTCAGCAAGCAGTGCAGAAAGTAGCTGAGTGCAGATTTGGGAGACCGATTTTAATCTTAGCCTCTGTCACTGGCAAACTACATGACTTTAGGGAAGACGCTTAATCTCCCTGTGTCACTTCTTCATCTATAAAATAGAAGTGATAAATTTGTTTACTTCATCAAGTTACGAATGGATAAATGATATAAGCTGTCAATGGTGCTTGGAGCAATATATTCACCACATGATTCTAGCAATACTTTTTTACTTGCTTATTTATATAACTTTCCAAGTGTCATTTTGGGGTTGGAGGGGGTCTCTTTTTATTTTGTTTTGTTTTTTGGTTCCAGGAAGCAAACTCATGACTTCATGCTTGCCAGGAAGGCGCTTGTGCTACTGAGTTATATCCTCAGTCCTCATTTTGCTATGTATTAATTAAAATTGTACTTTAACATTGTACCCATCAAAACGTTAACAGTGGCTGTGTCTGGATGATGGAGTTACTGGTTGTCTTATTGTCTTATTTTTGATTATTGATAGTTTCTAAACTTATTGTAGCAAAGATATATTACTTTTTAAAAAGAGTACAAACCCCCACTGAAGACCTATGTGGTATAGCAGATTAGCATTAGGTGTGAGTAGGTACAAAGTGGAGAGGACATGACCATGTGACAGCATGGATGACCATTGTCTTTAATGAATTTAAAGGCTACAGAATGAAGCAAACCAGATAGGCAGGTAATACAAAAGGGTGAGCAGAATGCTAAGGTACTCCAAGAGACCAGTTCCCCTCAAGAGGTTGGTCCTACAGAGAGATTATCATCTCTTTAAAACAGGTTTATTCCAGGTTTATTAGCCCACAGTCTTTTTGCATGGTCTCTGACCTGGGAAAAGGCAAATAACAAAACACAGACAAAAGGGGCACTCGCTTCATCTATCCCAAGGTCTCAGGGGCAGGGATGGAATTACTGAGATTCTTTCCTGGGTTCATATTTCTAGGAAGAGGATTATGTAGAAGAAAAGTTGAGAGGCCTTGTGTAGCACATATTATGTATGACAGGTGTGTACCAGGTAACAGAATAGCGTGTCAGATGGAATTAAGAAGTAATTTTCTGTTTCTCTGTCTCTCTTTTCACAGCATTATTAGCATCATCATTATTCTGGCTGGAGCAATTGCACTCATCATTGGCTTTGGTATTTCAGGTATGTGATTTCTTGCTTTGCCACAATCCATTCACCCCTCATAAACCTCTAATAAATCATTCAAGTGTTAGCCTAGGAGAACAGAGAATTTGGACCCAGAAATTCTCTGGGTCCAGTCTACTCGACTTCAGAGTAAAGCACTGGTTCTTCTGCATTACCTGTCCTCATCACCTTAGTCACTTAACTCCTTGTACCTCAGTTTCCTCATTTTTAAACTAGAAAAATAATGACCACTCAACAGTTGAGAGAATCAAGTAAGAAAGTTACCAGTGATCTACTTACCAGCCAGTGCTGAAAATGTTATTCTGGGAACGTTGGAAAAGTATAGTGAGCCATTCTATCAGAGGTTGACCTGGACAGATGGTTATGACTTTTTAGCCAAAGTTTTAAAGAATATCAATTTTTTTTACACAAGCATCTTAGATAAAGAGAAAACTGGCCATGATCATCGCGCTATGTAGGAATCAGATGCCACTATGATGTCAGTCGTGGGAGACTTCTCTTTCCTCTTCTGCGCAAGACATTTTTCTGACCTATCTCTCCTGAGTTAGGCCAGCAGCTGTTTCCTCGGAGGCGGAACATTTGCTCCACTTCCTGTAAACCACCTGACTTAGACCAACACATTTATTTTAACTTAATCTGTGACTAAATATTGTGGGAAGCCCTGTAATTGACTGCCACCTTATATCTGCAGGCCGCACCACCTTAACTCCCTCTAGGAGTTAAGTTTTGTAGTTAAGCAGTTCCTTGCCTGCCTAGCTCGATTGGCTCATTAAGGGATTATGCTAATCAGCCCATGTGAGAAATTTGAATTGACCTATAACCCTCGGTCTTGCCACTGTTGCTAAGTTACCTGATGACGTCACAGAACCCAACTCCCTCCTCCTCAATACCCTATATATTTGTTACTCCTTCCTTGAATAAACGAGACTTGATCAGACTTCTTCGTCTTGTCTCTGTCCTTTGTGTCTCTTCTTTCCTTTTCATCCCCACTCCCCCTCTATGGTCTCCGTGGACTTACCCACAGGCCAGGACAAAATATGTCACTAAGTACCTTTAATTTTTATAATTTCAGCTGCCTTTTCTCTCACTCTCTTGAGTGTGCTGCCAATAGTGACCGCAAGACCTAAACTAAGAAAACTATTTACTTTTGCTTGCCAAGAAAAGACATTAGCACCTTCCCTTGTTTTACCATCAAAAACATACCTTTTGTCCACTTTCACTAGATATCACTTTTCCCTTTGGATTTATAGGAATTCTTTATAATAGTCATTGCACATTGCTAAGCCTCTTCTCTATAGTTTGCATTTTCTCTCTTCTAGCATCTTTCGATTAACAGAAGTTGTTAATTTTCACTTAATCTAATGACTTCTTTTACGCAGAGTGCATTTTAAATTTGTAATCTATTTAAAGTTATTGTTTACCTCAAAATCATGAGCATTTCTTCTCAGTTATATTGCAGCAGGTATGTAGTTTGCCTTTCACATATGTACTATGGACCACCTAGAATTAATTGTATGGTGTAAGATAGGAGTCAGGTTCTGTTTTTCCATGAGGCTAACCAGCAGACTCAGCTCCATTATACTGTCCTTCCCCTACGGTTCAGCAGTGCCGCCATTACCCTACTGCAAGTATTCTCACAATGTGTGGATCCATTTCTGACCTTGCTAATCAGGTTCATTCTAGCATGCATGCCCCTTCATTTACAATGAAGCTATATCCCAATGAACCCATTGTATGTTGAAAATATTTTAAACTGAACATGTATTTACTACTCCTAACCTGTGAAGCAATACAGATTAACAACACAACATCTATAGCTAGCAGTGTGTCAGCCATTTGCCCTCCTATTCCTTTGGCTGACTGGGAGGTGTGCTCACTGCTGGTACCCCAGCATCATGGCAGAGCATCAAAACACACATCACTAATGCATAAAAAAGATAAAAATTCCAAAGTCAGGATCTGGTATTGCTTCTGCATTATCAGAAATTATGATTGCAAGCTGAACTTCCATAGGTCAGGGAGAGTCTGTATTCCTTTATAATTCATTTTCTTTTTATTTATGTTATTGTGTCTGTTTTGCTATTCCTAATTCTCTCCTCCTCCACTTCCCCTCCCTGCACCTCTTCCATCTCTTTAAAACAGGTTTATTCCAGGTATTTTATAATTTTATAATTTTTAAAGAATAGCTTTTTGCTCTATTTTCTTTGATTTGCTTCACTATTTTACTGATTTTGACTTTTTATCTTTGTTAATGTTTTTCTCCTTGCTTTATTTGGCTGTTTTGACCTTTTTCTAATATATTTAAATAAGCCCTGCATAGGAAAACATGTCCCAAAGAAAGCAGTAGACAGGTTTTAGTAAATGCTGCCATTCAATTTTCCAAAGTCGCTTACCAATTTATCCTTCACCAGAAGCCAAAAGAGGTCCAGCGCTTGCGTCCTGACCTATACTGCATGTTGAGGAACCTTGTGGCTTTACTCTCTGATTTCTGTGGCTGAGGAAACTGAATACATTTTCATACAAGAAACATAATGCTGCATGACAGACAGTGCAAGCGATTATCTTCTGTATGATTCCATGAATACAAAGTTGAGGAACAGGAAAACGAACCTCTGCTATTAGAAAGCAGCATAAGGGTTGTCATTTTCAGAGAAAAGTGAGGGGGCAGTGCTGAGGAGGGAGCATAAAGGATGTGCTAGGAGGATAGTAAAGTTTTTATTTGTTGGTGTGGTGAGAGAAAATTATTACAGTTCTTCAAGCTGCATAGTTATGCTGTGTAGACTTTTATACATGTGTGCATTAAATCTAAGTACAGAATTATATATAAACATTTATGAATTTTTTATAAGGAAATAAAGTATTGACTGCAATACAAATACTTTGGAGTAACTTTTAAAGGCATTAGTGCTAAGGTGCAATTTGATAACTTCCTAAAACTTAACTTCCTCAGTTCTCATTTCCCTGCTTCAGATCTCACACATCGTCTTGTATTAAAACCTTAGAGTTTGTGCTTCAGTTTTGATATTGGTGACTAAACCTACTTGGCTACCTGTATCTTCTGGTTGCTAGTGGCTCTGAATTCTCCAAGAATTTCACATTGTAACTGCTTTCTTAATCCAGTCAACACTTTTGCTACTTAGACCTCTTCCTGTTGTACTATTTATATTGTGCTCAAATACAGCTACCCCTTATATCATGCTCAAGTACAGACACAAACCTCAAGCATTGAGCTCCATTTTTGCAACGCAGAAATCCCTACTCATTAATTATTTGAATAATAATTCAATAATAATAATTCAATTAATTATTTGAATAATGCATAACTGTATACAAGATGAATAAACACAGAAATCACAGTCTACTCAACCTACTTAAGTACAGCAATAATATGAAAATCCCATTATTGCCACTGAAGAGGCTTTCTGCCTCCTCCTTATTTCACAGAGTTAAAGCTGGTTAGTTTGGATAAGACGGGCTATTTATTAGTTTAATACTGCTTAGCATCATATTATCATACTTTAAATGAATTCACTTGTCGGTGTCACTCCCGGCCGGCAGGAAGGACACACAACAAAGTCTGGCAGTGGACAACCTTTTCTTTTATTTTCCTTCTCCGTACAGCCTGCCCCGGGAATCCTCCCGGCCGAAGCCTCTGTTGGTCCGCTCCCCGCGGCTCCTTGCGTGCTTCTCCCTACAGTCTGTCCCGAAGCCTCTACCGGTCCGCTCTCCGCGGCTCCTTGCGTGCTTCTTCTGTTTCTTCTTTTGCTTCTTCTTCTTTTCTTGGCGGGAGAGGCACTCACTTTTATAGGGTTCAGTTGTTGCTAGGCAGACTATCTTACAGGGCGGGTTGTGAAGCAGGAGATCTTACAGGGCGGGTTGTTTACCAAGCAGGAAGCAGGAGATCTTACAGGGCGGGTTGTTTACCAAGCAGGAAGCAGGAGATAAGCGCCATCTTAGCACACTCGATGGGAGGGGTAATCTAGCTCAGGCTTTGCTCTTTCCTACAGGCCTCACGTCCGCCAAGTAAGGCGACCGGGCTCGGGGCTGCGGCTCCCAACATCCACTGAAGTATTAGCTGGCTTAATATATAACACATTGAAATTAAGCAAATAGCATTAAGTAGATGATGATGATGATATCACTGAACGTTTTCTTCATGGATCTCACCTTCTTAAGTAATTGCATATATTATTCGATTTACTATTCACAACAAATAGGTAGGTACCTCCATTATGTTCAAACAATAAACTGCAGAGACACATACAGCTAGCGAGTGAGCACGACTGCATTTCAAGTGCTGGTGATGTTTTTCCAGAGTGCACACCCCCACCTCCCGCCCTATCTCAGTGATAATATTCACACCGAGTGTGGCAGAGAAGAGGTCATGAGGGAACTGCTTGCCTTTCAGGTATTATTCTTGGTTTGCTTTGCAGGCATTAATTCCTGATACCACAGATTTTAAAGACTTGAAGATATTCACAAATACAGGGGGAAAAATCTGTATCTTTGCAATTCGATTGATTCCTTCTTATAGCCATTCTACTCTTTATAAATTCTGAATGTTCAATATGTCACAGAGCTAGGATTTCGACCCAGTCAGCCTGATACCCAGGACATGTTCTCAAACACTACACTGCTGCTTCCTGAATTCTTCCCAGTGTCCTTCCTAATTCTTCTCACACAGGCAACCATAGCCCGGAGCCCCACCTTCTTTGGCAAAAGTGACCCTCACAGGTGCCATTTCAGTTTCCAGCCTTACGTTTCTGCCTTTAACCAGTGTTCTATCATGCCTGTCCAGACAGCCAAATTTCAGGAGATTCTGAGTGACCATTTGTCTGTTGAAAGCTTCTAGCATGTTTTCTATGCTATTGGAAGGTTCAGAATTTATCGTTCTGAGTTGTGTCAAAGGACAGTTCATTTCCCAGTTTTTATCCAGTGCTATAGGATGCCTCATAACTGCTATAAAAATACTTGCCTTGTGTTACCAATGCTCCCACTCTCCAAGATATCCCTGCTCCTACAATGCGGGACCAATTAAACAGCAATCACCCCTGTAAAAACCAAGATGAATAGATTTCAGCTTGCTCCCTTTGATGCCCCTCCTTTCTCTTCACTCAGGTCAGAACTGTGTTAGTAATTACCTTTCACATGTGATATAACTCATTTCAATAACTGGGTTTTCCAATCTTAAAGGGGCTTAATGCAATCTTAGGGGTTAATGAAATACTTTAAATTCGTGCCAGTTTCACAGAGTTTTACATCATTAGGTAGCATTCCCTAAGCCAATTCCACAGAGTCCTTTTTGTCCTTTGGTTCAGCAAGTCACACAAGAGCCTCTGGTGTCAGTAGGCCTGGAAATTCACATCAGATCAGTCTGTGTAGCACTCCGTATGCCAATACTATACTGCCTACAAGTTTAACTACAAACTTGCTTGGTTTTTCTTTCTTTTAATACTAGGTATTGAACTCTTGTAATCCACAAATGAGCCCCCAAACTCGAGTTCAAAAAATGAGGCAAAAACATATTTTAAAAAACAATGCTGATTTATTTTATCCTGGGCCCAGTGACACAGTGCAGTTGCAGTTTGCAAAAGCTGTGCGACGCTCCTCCAGACTTGCAGCCTTTTTGTACATATGACAGTTTACAAAGTAAGGGGTTATGGGCATGGATCAGGAAATCTGCTAAGGAAATGAGGAAAACCTTTGTTTTCTTTAGCAGAGGATACAGTAGTCTAGCAGGAATTAACAATTCTTTGTCAACTTATTTTAGCACCACATCTGTTATTTGTAGAGGGCAACAATGGTTAACAAATCAGTTAGGTAAGATTTTCAGGGATTTAGAATTCTTTATAGAGGGGAGCATTGATTAACATATCAATTAGGTCACCCAGAAGAAAAAAACACATACAGAACAGCAGGCGTCGTTACAGGTACTTTGGCATAATACAAACATAACGAAGCTCTTTTTTTTTTTTTTTTTTTTTTTTTGCTAGGGTACAGCAGAACGTAGGTAACCGGGATACACTCAAGCCCTTTTTTATGTTTTATTTTGAGACAGAGTCTTGCTAAGAAGCCCAGTCTGGCCTCAAACTTGTGATCCTCCTTCCTCAGTCTCTTGAATAGTTGGGATTACAGGTGGGCACCACCACATCTAACGTAAGATTCCTTTTCATGAGAATATTTGCATGCTGCTGTCTGCACTTGAAATATAATTCTACCACTTTTTATAGTCATTCATTTAACAAGTATTTATTGACTCACTCTGAGGTGCAAAGCAACAGCTAGGTCCTCATCACTTTTTTAAGTTTTCCCTGGCTTTTATGCCTCCTCTTCACGTGATATAGAGATTTAATCGACATTGTACCCATTCCATCTGCCATATCATTAATGCAGCCTTAAATGACTAAAACCGTCCAGGATCCCTAAGGGCACATCACAGCTGCCTACTCTTAACAATTAAGTTCTCTAGGAGATTCTTCCGTGGATTCCTTACCAGTGGGCTCAAGGCCAACATATTAAAATTAATTCAGTAGCAGAATTACAAAATGAAGATATGTCATTATCATTTAACTTTCTCCCTAAACTGTAAGATCATGTATTTTTGAAAGGTAATTTTTCAATTCAACTTCAATAGCACTTTATAGCTGCAATCAAATTTACCCTTGCTCTAACGTAGTTACATTTGCTGCATGAATTTAAGAATCATTGTGTATTTTTATTGCTTTTTTCCCCAGTGGCTCACATTTCCCAAAAATTTAAATGTAGTGATTCTGCCAAACGTTCCCTATTCTTGCAATAGATAGATTATTTCAAACAGTGCTTTGATTTTTACATATTCCCATTTGTTCATTCATTTATTCATGCTCTTAGCAACTACTTTTCTCTGTAGAAACATAGCACGAGGCATTTTAGCGCCAATGGATATGATTGATACAGTTTATGCCCTTGAAAGAACTCACAAATCAGTGTAAGAGATAGACTGGAAACAAGGCAGATAAAGGCGAAAGAAAGTGTTACAAGCGAGTACAAAGAATATCTACGAATTTTGTGTTGTCAGACTGAATGAATGTGTGGTAGAAGGCTGCCCTCTGAACAGATTTCAGTATAAGCAGAATGTGAGGGCTGGTTATAAAGGGAAAGAGAGGACTTAGGCTTTAGGTGGCAAGATGAGAAAGGCTTTGAAAGCACATAGCGTGAGCAGGTAACCCATGCAAGTCTAGGGTGCCTCGGATACAAGTCTGATAAGCACAAATAATTGAAAAGCAAACTTGATCATTATAGTTGTAGCTAAAGAAATGTCAAGGCAGGAGATGGGGTGTAAAATATTCATATTACACAGCAAAAATGTTATATTGTCCTCTTTCATAATTTATCTCTCATATCTCCCACATGAATGCTCAAGGTCAAGCAGCTGCTTCCAAAGTCTTTTTTCCCTCACACTCTCCAGCTACCTGCATATCCTCACAACCAAGCCTCTGTACCAGTTTTTGTTTCTACTGGCATGTTTTTCTAGTTAAAATTTTTCCCTATCAGTAATCTTTGTTCTTTCTTATGCAACTCTATCTTAGATTCTCCAGTTCTATTTGTTTATTACTCTCATCTACTCTTCATGCAATGAAGTGTTTGCTTAAAGGATAGGCAGAGACTGGAACATAAGCTGGACCTAAACACTGCCAGGATCCGAGACAGCTCTCAGGATGGAGGCCTCTCTCTGCTTTTCTCTCCATGGTCTCTTTCCCATACTTGTTTATGTTTACTCCTGTCTCCTCTTGGACTCGAAGAACATCCTTTCTTGCCTTCATATCTAATTATAGGAGACTTTGAAGAAGGTTCAGTTAAGGTGCCTCACTGCTCTAAGCACCTGCACTCTGTTCTTGAGTGCGTACCATATCTATCTCTAACAAATCCTTCTCATGTCTCTTAAAAAAGAAGAATATCCAGCTAATTAAAGCACTCCTGTATGTGTCTTCAGTCAACAGCCTTCAACACACACAGAACAGCTAGTTGACTCTTCTCTGATAGGTAGGATATAGCCTGAGCAGAGCGGTAAATATCAGTGGGTCTATGATGAATCCTTGTACTGGTGGTGTATTCAGAGAGGAGAAGATGGCCTTTATCATGGGCCAAATATCAACTGAATTAAGTACTGTTCTTCTTTATGTCATAGCTAACTCTATAACTTTAATCAAGTGCTTATCTTTTTTATTCCTTAGTTTCTACATCATTCAGAGTTACAGTAAAGCATCAGTGCTTTAGGAATTGAGTGTTGATTCAAATTACAAACCAAATTCAGTTAACATGGTACTTTACTTTGAGCCACAGAACAATAATATCTTATAATGCGCAATTGCACTTTGCAAATCAAGTTCACATCCATTTGATTTGATCCTCACAAGAACCCCATAAACTAGGTAAAACAGATAATGTTAACTCTTCTTTTCGGAGATGCAGAGTATGACATGACTTGCTCACAGTGACACAGTATTAAGTAATAAAGACAAGACCTGAATTCTACTCCTCGTACCTAAGTGCAGTGTGTCATTGCTTCTCATGGTCTGGACTGATTGTTTTTACAAAAGGTATTGTATATGGCAGATCTGATATATACTTTTTCTGCTCTTTCTATTCTCAACTTCCTTTTTAGATGTTTTTCCTGTATCACAGAAATCTGTTTGGCTGTTAGTAATACAGTTTAGTAATACAGAAAGCTCCAAGGCTTCCCTTGGCATTGATCCTTGCTTCCTGCATTGCAGGGAAACACTCCATCACAGTCACTACCTTTACCTCAGCTGGGAACATTGGAGAGGATGGAATCCTGAGCTGCACCTTTGAACCTGATATCAAACTTAATGATATCGTGATTCAGTGGCTGAAAGAAGGTGTCATGGGTTTGGTCCATGAGTTCAAAGAAGGCAAAGATGACCTGTCAGACCAAAATGAAATGTTCAGAGGCCGGACGGCAGTGTTTGCTGATCAAGTGATAGTTGGCAATGCTTCTCTGAAACTGAAAAGTGTGCAACTCACAGATGCTGGCACCTACCAGTGTTACATCATCACTTCTAAAGGGAAAGGAAATGCTAATCTTGAGTATAAAACTGGAGGTAAGTTACTTCTGGAGGGAGAGAAGGAAAGTACCAAATGATATCTGAGGCTAAAAATCATGACTTGCTGATAAAATATGTGCTCACCATTGACTAATGACAAAGAAAAACCCTCCTGATTCTGTTAGAAGCCATCATGCTGTTGCTCAAGACCCACACAGACCTCCAAAGTAGCCTACTATGCTAGTAAGACTTTGAATCTTTTCTTCTGGGTTCTCAGAACGTCTACACTTCCAGATGTGTTTCTTAAAATATTTTACCAACACAAACATAGTCTCCTGATGGTAGCCCTTGCTATTTCTGATAAGTGAAACCTATTGGCCTTGGTTGTTTCCATGCTGGCTAGGTTTGAGTTCACATCTGAAACAAGTACCCTGAAAACTCTGTAACAATAGAACCCACTTTAGGAAAAGCTTAAAGAAACTAAACCAAACAATATTGTCCTGTAAACACAATAGTACCCTCCCCATGAAATCCACCCTTCCTTGCTAACTTATTTTCTGAATTTATGTGTAAGGAATATGTATAGAAGATTAATACACCAAGGGATATAAAAGATAAGAAAACAAAGTTTTATTTTGTTTTGTTTGCAGAGTTCCTAGGTAGATCATACAGATTTGAAAATTCTTTCAGGGATAATAATTGATGAAGTACATCAAATGCTTTAAGAGAAATATAAATAGAAGGACTCAGGGATTCAGAGGAAGAGAGATATTGCACCTAAACGCACAAGAAATAAGAAAAAGAAAACCCTTTGTGGGTCAGTTGACATTCTGAGAGGAGCCCTGAAAAACAGGCAGAAAGTATCCTGAACTTGCTTAGCCTGAACAGGCCTTTTGTGAACACCTCCTAACCGTGTACATGTGATGATTCAAAGCATAGTCTAGAGCCAGACCTGGACAGACACAGTGGGGTGGGCAAAGCAACCTCTCTGAACCTCAATTTCTTCATGTAAGATGAAGATTACCTTTGTCATGTCAAAGGAAAGCTACTAAGGTCAACTTAAAGAGCTCCCAGTGGCAAAGCTCAAAACAATTTAAGCAACAAAATAATAAAATATTGAATATATAACTCAAGGTACAAAGTGAATACACGAGTTCATACCCATGTAAATAAATGAAGGGAAAGAAATAATCCTTCCTTGCAAGTAAATTTAAATAATTTATACAGCTTTCTCCCTCTCTAGGCAATTGAGCTTAATACCTTTCCCCGCTACTCAGCATATTTTGAAATAGTGAAATGCAGCTTCCAAAGAATCTGGCAAACAACCTCACCCAGGTGATCCAAGTCAACATCACCAGGGATCAGTCATGTCGATGGCGTGTACCTTCTAATATGATCTGATGAGAAGGAAACTTTACCTCCTATAGTCTTCTTTTCCAAAAGTTCAGCCTAATCATGACAGAAGTATCAAATTCCAATAGAAGAATATCCTACAAAACATCTGACCAGTATGCCAAAACTATCAAGACCATAAAGCACAGAAAGATAAAAAAAATATCACAAACCAGAAGACTCTAAGGAGACCTACTGACTAAAACCACAGGATCCCGAAACAGAAAAAGACTTCAGTGGAAAAAGTAGTAAAATATAATCAGATCTGTAGTTAACACTAAGATATTAGTGACAGTCTCTCCATTTTTACAAATGTACAATAGTTAAGGTTATAATATACAGAAAGTTGCTCTTTGTACATTTTGTGTAAACCTAAAATTATTTCAAAAGTTTACTTCGATAGAGAGATAATAAATATTCTCAGGATTATTGTGAGGATGTAATGAAACATTGCTTAAATATAGTACTGGCACAAAGTACATTCTCCATAAATGGTGGTTCATTGTCATATACATTTAGTTCAACAAATCATCTCCCAGGAGTTTGTTCCCTCTCTGCTTTGAGCATGTGAGTCTTAGGGCAGGGTAAAGTCATTCCTTTCATGCTCAGCACTAGTTGGATACTTGATAAAGGAAGATATTAAGTAAATTAAATAAATGCATCTTGAAATTCTGACATAACAAAAGTCCTGGCCTTAATATTTTTCTACAAGCGTCTCTCTGCCTCGATATAGGGGAAAACAAGACTTAATTTCAAAGTTTCCTTCTCAGTGAGAAGAATTATTTTAGAAGACAACACAGTCCTATTTCTGTTCTTGGACTATACAGTCTTTACCCAAGCAAACTGCAGATCCCCAGGACAATCAGGTCTGTGTATGGAATTTCTGTGGGTGACAGGAGAATGTTGCTTGTTTCTTCTTTATTCCTCTTTTTTTTTTTTTTTTTTTTTTTTTTGTCTTTTTTAAGATGGGGTCTCGCTATGCAGTTCAGGCTGGCCTTGACCTCGCTTTGTACCCAGGCTGGTCTCGAACTCACAATGATCCTTCCACCTCAACCTCCCGAGTGCTGGGATTACAGGCGTGAGCCACCACGCCTGGCCTTTATTCCTCTTCTTCATCACCTTAACTTTAGCCTCAAGGCAAAAATTATACAAACCCCATAAAACCTCACAAAATCCTAGGAAAATGCCAATTTTTCTAAGGAATAAGCTTTTTATAATCAATGGAGCACCTCTTACAGAAAATTAGCTGTTGAACAGTACTATACCTAGAACATAGGACCCTGAGGTTTGTGATATTGGTCAAAGAGTTGGATGTATAACAATACTATTAGCAAATTGTGTTTACAAGGTAATGGACCATATATAGACAGTACCCTGGGAAAACAGTCACTTCAATGATAGAAATGCCTGTTTGTGCTTTTAAGACCTAGTGCTTCAAGGTTACATTGTCCTTCATGGCTGACTTTCACATTTGTCCTTTTTGATCTTTGATTCTGCAGCCTTCAGTGTGCCAGTGGTAAATGTTGACAATAATGCCAGTGCAGAGAGCTTGCGCTGTGAGGCTCCTCGATGGTTCCCCCAGCCCACAGTGGTCTGGACATCCCAAGCTGACCGGGCTGCCAACTTCTCACAAGCCTCCAATACCAGCTTTGAGCTGAACTCTGAGAATGTGACCATGAAGGTTGTGTCCATGCTCTACAACGTCACAGTCAACAACACTTACTCCTGTATGATTGAAAACAGCATTGCCAAAGCCACAGGAGATATTAAAGTGACAGGTGGGTTTCTCAGGGCTGTCCCTCCCCAGCGCCTCCCCAGGGATGCTGAGTATCAAACTTAGGACCTTGTGCATATGCTAGACAAACAATCTACGACTCAGCTATACTCTCCTCCCTCTCTATGCTTTCCTATGTGGATTTACTGAAGAGAAAATAATATCTAAACTAAATCTAAGTTACTTAACATATACATTGTATACCAAGGCACAAAAATCTCTAGAGTCTTCTTCACTAAACCCTGATCACAATTCCAGCTGGGAGGGCCTTGTGTAATTGAAAGCCTAACAAAACAAAACATAGCATATAAGTTAAAGATGGCAAGTGGACCTCATCTTGAACGTCTTCTCAATAACAGGTTTTCCGGAGAGCAGTGCTTAGGACTCTGAGGCTCTGTCTCAGACTTACAGACGCTGTAAGACTAATGTGGTATAATAGTGAGAATCTGGTGATAAATTTAATATCTTTAACATATTCAGCTGATATACTGCATTCTATACTGGTTTGGCTTTAACCAGTCTTTGTATCTGAAAAGGCTTTGAATCTGAAGACTGAAAGTCTAGACTAGGACTTAGTCTTATTTAGCCCACATGAGACTGACGCATGGTCCAGGATTAGTCTGAAAGCCCAGATGGAACAGATCTCCTAGCATCCTCACTGAGAGCTAATCCGAACTCCCTGCAGTACTTCAGTGCATGCAAAACCTAAAACTGGGTTAGTGTCAAGAATATGCACAGACTAAATTATTAATTTTAAGATCATTCCACCTGGAAAAAACTGAATTCAAGCTGTAGAAGAAAGAGTTAATTGGGAGAATTGCTATTTATTTCAAGGTCAGAACTCTGCAGAAAATGTCTTGCACATTTTAAGTACAATAACTGCAAGTAACTTGAATAGACAGGTTCCAAGTATGATATACAAAGGGCCAAAAAGCACATGGATGATGCTTAGCATTAGAAATTACAACAATGATAATGTATCACCTCATACACACTAAGATAGCTACTTTTTTTTTATCTTCTTGAGACAGTGTCTCACTATGTAGTTCAGGCTGGCCTTGGGCTCACTTTGTAGCCTAGTCTGGTCTCAAACTTGCAATGACCTTCTTGTCTCAGCCTCCTGAGTGCTGAGATTACAGGAGTGTGCCACCACATCGGGTTTGAAATGACTACCATTTTTTTTTAAATCCAAGAAAATAGCAAATATTGGTGAGAATGTAGAGTAATTGGAACTCTTGTGCATTGCTAACAGGATTGTAAAAAGGCGCAACTAATTAAAAACAGAATGGAGGATCCTCAAAAAATTAAAAGCATAACTATTACACGATCTGGTCATCCTACTTCTGAGTATGTAAAAAAATTCAATAAGGGTCTCAAAGTAGTTACATACTTATCTTCACAATAGCACTATTCAAAATAACCAAAAGGTAGAAAAGCAACTCAAAATGCCCATTTATGAACGAGTGGATAAACAAAGTATGGAACATACAGTGGAATAGTATTCAACCTTAGAAAGCAAGGAATCATATAACAAGCTGCAACATGGATGGGTTTCTGAGGCATTGTGCTAAGTAAAACAATCCCAACCAAAAAGATTCACATTGTACAATTCTACTTATGAGGTGGGGAGAATGCTTATGTTAATGAACTTAAAGTTTTTGATTTGTAAGATGAAAACGCTCTGGATACCTATTTTACAATGATGTGAATATATTTAACACACTTTATTTTTAAATGGTTAAGATGAGAAATGTGATGTTATACTTTTACTGCAATTTTGTAAGAATCTAAGAAAAAATTATATGCATATATGAGAGCTATTGAGAAACAAATTGGTGGCTACCTTGGTTAGGACTCTCTCAGTTGAAATTAATGGAGAACTAACTCAAATTTGACTGAGATGAAAAGAAACATTTTACTCCAAAAGTGCTGGTTTGTTTCTTGGGACCAGAGATAGGAACAGTATTGACTTCAGCAACAGCTGGACCCAGGAACTTAAATTACACTAGGATTCTCTGTCTCTTATTCTCTTTTTAATCTCTTGCTTAATTTCGGGTGGAAAAATTTAGTTGCCAAAACCTCCTATATTTAAAAATCTTTTTTAATTAGGAGAGGAGCTAGACAGGCTGTCAAAATATGTATGTTTTCTTTTACATGAGTTACCATTACTCTATTTGTTTTTGTAAAAGTGGACATTTAGCATTCAGTGCAGTTTTCAATAAGCACCCATTAAAATAATTTTTAAAATGTGCATGGTGTACATGGATAAATTGCCCAATGTTTAACATATTAACTAGTACGTGGTAGATTTGGGGGGAAAGCTCAATCTTTATTCGCATATTTCCTTGGATGAGAAGGGATGCCTGTTGGTAACCTTTTAAATCTTTCTCTTCCTTTTTTATTCTTCCCCAGAGAAGGAATTAATTTATCTGATTGGTGCACATATAGCCAGCTGCTTTTTTCCTCTTTCTCCTCAGCTAATTCTCAGGAAGTACCTGGCTTCCCTCTGTTCCTCCAGACCATCAGGGTTTCAAGGACAGAGCCTGACCTTGCACGAGGAAGCCTGCCCTAGTCTGGAGCTGTCTTTCCTTGAGGAAAAGTCTGGGGTGCAACCCTTTATTAAAGGGTCATCCTTAATTATCAGATAATTTAGTAATAAAGGTGATATTTTGGCCTTCCATTTGTCTACTTTTTCCCCTTCTCTTTAACTGACTCAGAACTAAACTGGGAAGAGGCTATGACTTATTGGACCGCTCTGAATCCCAAAGTGCAAAGATATTTATTGAACAATTATGTTTTTAATTTGATATATTTAGTAGCAATTGTAAGTCCAAATGTAGAATTCAGGATGAAGTTCAAGCTAACTAAGCAGGTTAGTAAATGATAAGCATGGATATAATGCTTATTAGGATTAAGTGGGGTTACTGTTATTGCTGTTTGTAGCTAACAGTAATTGAATTCTTACTATGCACCAGGCAAGTAAGTACTGTCTATATATTCACTCATTCATCTCCATCAGAATCCTATGCACTAGGTTACTCTTTTGGCTCCATTTTACAAAGGAAGAAATTGGAGCAAATGTGCCTAGAATGACTTGCCTAAGGTCACACAGCTAGTAAGTAACAGAACTGGAGTAAAGTGAGATTGAATTGCCTCATAAGAAAATAAAGTGCAAGAAAAGTAACTTCATTTCTTGAGTTCTAACTTTATGCTCTTCTAAATGAAAACAATAACTCCTTATCTCTTTATAGAAGTGTGATCAGGGTGGGCATGGCAGTGCACTCTGTAAGCCCAGAAGTTAGGAGATTGAGGCAGGAGGATTGCTGTGAGTTCTGGACCAGCCTAGTGAAACTCTGTCTCAAAAACAAACAAACAAACAAACAGAAGTGTAGTGAAAGATATTGACGCTTAACCTGTAAAGGCCATTGCCTGAAGGAAAAAGATTCCCAAAACCACAGACTGACCATGGTTGTTTGGTTAGCCTATTCTTTATGTGGTACCCAACAACATTTTTTAAATTTTAAAATAAAAAAAGAATAAAAACAATGATACAGAATTTCAAAACAAATTAATAGGAAATCAACAATGGTTAATATGTTGTATACTGTTATCATCCAAGTAGTTGCTAAGATTACAAGGGTTAGGCATTAAAAACTGATCAAATAATGGAAGCACAAACTGCTCTTTTTGATGAGATAACAGAGATTAGTAGTATAATTATCTAGCAAAATATATATACATATATATATATACATATAAAATCTTTTCCCCTTTCTCCCATCCCAGTTATTCTTTCCTTTTGAGTAGTTTCTTCACTTTCACAATATCTGCTGTACACTTTGGATCTTATTTACTTTTTCAGTTTTTTACACTATGGAGGCTATATGATGCTTACACATGTGAGTGATTTACCCCTTTTCATAGCTGAGTAGTACTCACTATATAAAAATACACTAATATACAAAGAGCATATAAAAACATACCAAAAAAATACAGAAAACTTTTTTACCCATTCTTTAGTTGATGGGCACTTAGGCTGTTTCCAAGATTTAGCTATTACAAATTGTGCTGCTATAAATATGGGTGCACATATATCACTGTGGTATGATGTGGCATGAAGTAGCATGATCCAGAGAATAGCAGGATCAGATGGGACCTCCAATTCTAGCTTTTTGAGCAACCTCCACACTGATTTCCACAGTGACTGTACAATCTACATGCCCTCCAACAGTGGAGAAGCATTCCTTTTTCCCCACAGCCCTTTCAGCATTTGGTATTGGCTGATTTCTTTTTTTATATATAAATAAAACAATAATCAGAACAACAGAATAAAAATGATATAAAATTTCAAAATGATAAGAAATTAACACATTAATATATTGCATATTACTACCTTCAAAGTAGTTCAGATTATAAGATTTAGGGATGGAAAATGACCAATGAAAGCACAAACTTCTTTTTAATGTACTAATAATTAGTAGTATGGTCATCTAGTATATATATATATATATATATATATATATATAATCTTTTCCTCTTCTTTTCTCCTTTGTCATATCCCAATTGTTCTTTTCTTTCAAGTATTAGTTGATTTCTTGGTGGCAACCATTCTTTCTACAGTGAGATGGAATCTCAGTGTTGTTTTAATTTGCATTTCTTGAATGACCAGTGATTTTGAACTTTTTTTCATATATCTATTTGCCATCTGTAATTCTTCATCTGAGACATGCATATGCATCTCAGATGCCCCTTTGAATTTGGGGGGCCTAATGTTTTTCGTTCTTCATATGTTCTAGATAGAAGTCCTTTGTTTGAGGGACAGGAGCTAATCTTTCTTCTCATTTTGTAGGTTGCCTTTTCACTCTGTTGTTGATTTCTTTTGATGTACAAAAATTTAATAGGATGAGACCTCACTTAATTCTTTCAACAAGTACAGTTTGATTTTTGCTCATGAACTCTCTGTGTACTCCTCTTATGTCTTCAAGATTCCTACCTACTTTGTCTTCCACTAGATTTAGTGTTTCTGTTTTAATATTTAGATCTTTGATCCATTTTGACCTTAGTTCAGTGATAAGCATGGGTCTAGTTTAAGTCTTTAGCATGTGGAATGCCTATTTTTCCACATCACTTACTGAAGAGTCTATTTTTCTTCCAGTAAACATGTTTTTTATTTGGCTGAGTGCTCACTGGAATGGAGCTTCCTTTGAAGAAAGGGGAAGGTTTGCTTTTAAATCAGGTACAGAAAGTGGTGCAAAATAGCTTGTTTAAGGAACAGCTTTCTGTTTTCCAGGTACTCTTCTTTGCTAACCGGTTGTGTAAGATAGCCAGCTTCTTCTATATGACCCTAAACATTTTTTTTTCTCTACAGATTCTGAAATCAAAAGGCGGAGTCACCTAGAGTTACTGGTTTCAAAGGCTTCCCTGTGCGTCCCTTCTTTCCTGGTAATCAGCTGGGTACTCCTGCCTCTCTCCATTTACCTGATGCTAAAATAATGTGCTTCAACCACCCCAAAACATGTAAAGTTACTGGCATAACAGGTGAGATAAATCATAAATAGGATGGGAGATTGGTTACATGTGTGCTTGTTTTCCTAAAAAGAGTCAAGCAGCCTTCAGAATCAGCCACAGGAAAATATATTTAGTGATGCCTGGGAAATGACATTTTTAGTAGTGCTGTTTATGGTAATCATTCGTTAGCTTAACAGAAAACAGAAACCTATTGACAAATTTATAGGAAAACCAACTTCTTAATTGGTTTTCTCATTGCTGGGACAAAGTTTCTCATTACTGGGCATCCAAAGTTAAACGTGAAAAGGTTTATTAGCTCACAATTTGTAGAGGTTTCAGTTCACTATCAATTGGCTCCAAGGTTAATGTGGCATGACAGAGGGGTATCACAGAGAAGAAACAGTTCATGTCGGGTAGAAGGTAGCAGAGAAATAGGGACCTTAACAGTGTCTTTCTGCCCCTTTTATCTTATCCAGGATACTGAGGATGAGTAGCCCTCACACCCTTGATCCTAGCATTGCACCATAAATTAAACCCTGCATCACACACTAGATCCAGCCACCTCTGAAAAAGCCTTATCTATGACTGCATGAGATTTTGGGGAACATCTAGCTACAAGCCATAACACCAGTTCCATATAATTCAATTATTTGTATAAATTCAAGCACTTTTTCATTTATTGAGTCATTAATGAAGACAAATATATCTTATTGAAGAGAGACATTTAGCTCTAATTATGCTAGGTTTCACTGTCATTTACAAAGCATAATGACATGCACATTACCGCTTATATAAGTGACCTTCCCCCACCCTTCTGAGTAGCCCCAGTTGACAGCAGACCTGGCAAATGACTCATCAGCTATCCCTCCTGCCAAGACTTCTCATTTGCACTTCAATTCTCTGGCTCTAATTGTTAGGACATTTCCTTCTAAATATTCTACTGCATATGAAATTTGTATAAAACTGAACTTATGAGGTCAGAGTCAACACTCCAGCATTACTCAGTGACATCCCCAGCAAGCCTTCAGGCTCACAGTCCTGCAGCTATTTTTGTCTGCTCCCTGTCCTTCATGTCAATTTGTTACCAACCCCTGCAGCATTTTCCTATGTGATCTCTCAGACCCTCCCTAATCCACCCTTCACCACCTCACACCCTGCCTGATTCTAAAATCATGTACTTAGTCTTTCTTCTCCAAGTTTCAGGTGCCAAGAGATAAGGTACCAGAATGAAAGTATTGAGACATTTCATCGCAGCCTTTCTTTCCTTCAGAACCCAGAACGACTCCCACTAACTGTATCAGTTAACAGTCCTCAGCTGCAATCACAGCCCTCTGACAGCTTCTCTTCCTGAGCCTGCTATTCTCCCAAATATCTATCAGTTCTCTATGGACTTGCTCTCTCTTTCATTGCTCTTTCTTGGAAATCTGCTCTATTGTATGGCAATTCATATCCATTCCTTCCTTTACCCGTCTCAGGAAAATTTTTCCTAATGAAAGTTCCCTTTCCTAAAATTGTTTGTATTCCATATCCCCTTAGCATGTCTGAGTAATTTGTATTTTATGCTATGGGGCATATATATCCCTTGCCTAGGTTGTTAAGACCTCAAAGCAGTCAAAGATCTGTTGATTTGCTTCTTTTTATCCTTTCTTTTGTTCTCCAAGCTCTTACTACATATAGTACGGGCACAAAGCAGTTGATTTGTCAAAGAACTCAGCAGTCTCTATCATTTGTAAGCTCTCATGACTGTCAGCAGAGGGAGATTTTCCTAAGGAAACTGTCCCCTGGGAATCTCACTGGTAGAAGATAGAACACTTTCTTCTTTCCTTGATTTTCTACAACACTGTAAATGATTTAATAACCTAGAACTAGATAATATGATCTATAAAGCATAGCTTATTCAACTGTACCATGTGTTCCTTGACAACAATTATTTGCAGCCTTTTTAAAAATCATGACACAGAAGACACAGGATTAGAAAGAAAAAAAGAGGATATATCAAATTCCTTGTGATGAATGTGATCATTGCGTGTATCTAAATGGTACCAATAAGCTTGGTAAAACATGTTTTTAAAAGCACGACACACATATGAAGGATGATAGTCCCATACACTGTTCCTATGGTCATGTGCTGTTGTCCAGTTAGCTGTGCTTATTCTTTCTCTAGGTTTCAGGTGACAGGAAACAAGGCGCCAAAATGAAAGTACTGAGACACTGTCTCCTCACAGAATTTCTCTACTTCCCAACTCGGAATGACTCTCTGAGCTCTGCTGTATCAGTTAAAGTCCTCAGCTTTAAAATCCCCAAAACCATAAAGGAATAACCTTAAATCAAATACAATTTTTAAAGTAAAAGGACAGAGCAGTACTTGAGACAGTTATTATAACTGATCATGACATTTGAGGTGACACTGTCCCTGGCTGGGAATTGAGGTGGAGCTCATCTTTCTGCCTCCTCCCAGGCTCCTACCTATCCTTCATCTCTCGTTTCCCGTTTGCTCTAATGATCTGTTTCACCCAGGCACTGTCACTGGGATAATCCCCTTCAGGATAAAATTCAAAACCTCTCTTTTCTCACAGCAATCCGTGGAACCATGCACCATGATAGAACAACATCAAAATACAGCAAAAATAAGCCCATTTCTAAATAGGAGATATACGCATATAGTGGCAGAAAGATTTTCAGTTCTCAGTAAATGTTTGTTGAATGACTGTTATGATATCTTATTGTTGTTATTTTCACAATCCCAGGAATCTTCAGAAATATTTTACCTCAAGATATGACCTCCTTTTATATTTCTGGAAGAAAATGAATTCATATGTAGGAGTCTGGAGTATATAAACAAGAATAAGAAAAACAAGATTAAAGCAACCCTGGGAAAACTCCAGTGTGAACAAAATACATCTACCTTCAAAGACATATGTTAAAAGTTGGCAAAATCATTCACCTGAAGTAGAGAAATGCACTAAGACTGCATGTGAAGATAAGTATATCTCAGGGCCCTCCCCTTACTCATCAGCTCCTGAGGACTGAGAAGACGGAATATGGTATCTCTGAATCCTTAATTATAGGTGTGGTAACGTTATTCTGAAGAACTTTTTGGACAGTTTCAGTCACCACAATTTCACCTCTTATAGTCTGAAAATTAAACTGTAGTGTGTGCTTTAAGAAGCTGCTAATCAGTTGTCACTTAATAACTCAGTGACTGAATTTTAGTGAAGATTCAAATGACTCAGTAATCAGATTATTATGATGGTTTCAATAGTGCCTTGCGTTCTGTCATCAGAAAAATGCCAAAGATGTGAAATACAATCATAAGTTTATTCTGAATAAAATAGTTGGGTGACACTGATTTTCTAAATAATATGAGCACATTTTTTGAACAAAAAATGGCATTTTATTTCCCAGGTTATGTTGATCTGTGAATGGCACGGGACTGGACCTCTCACTTTACTATGTGGCATTATGTAATAGGCTTCTACTTTCTTTCTTGCATGAACAGTTAGGACTTTAGCTTTTACCAGCATCTAGAGCAGTGGTGGTGAACCTTGGGCATGCTGCAGCAGGCTGTTTGCAGCATGGAAAGCTCTAAATGGTTCATCATCACTGATCTAGAGCATTAGTATTCAATGAGGGTAATTTTATTTCCCTTTTGATTTCCCAAGAGACATTTGCCAATATCTGAAGACATGTTTAGTTGTCAGACTCATGAAAGACAGAGGACTGTGTTAGCAGTACATAATGGAGAGCCCAGGGATGCTGTTCAACATCCTACAATGTACAAAACGTCACCCCACTACAAAGAATCATGTAGCCCCAAATGTCAATCATGCCAAAGATAAAGATACTTTGATTTACAGTAGAAAAAGAAGAAAGCAGACAAATATGGTTGCTTCTTAAATCTGGACATCGGCTTCTCTCTCTTGGGCTACTGCTTTGCCACAGAGAGCCAGATCTTTAAGGGGGAACCACGATAACATCTTTCACTGAACAGAGTCTACAGGATGTAGGAAATTCTTTTTAGGATTATCTTCAGTTCACTGAGCTTCCAAGTTCTTTCCCTGCTTTCTACCTTGTAAACTAAGTTCACAAAAAAGTTAAGTTCCAACTTAAGCTCTCTCACTTGAAATTTTAGATCTCAGAAAAATGCCTGGGCAAAATTAAGGCAACATACATGTTCTTTCCTGAAGCTGCTGAGCTTTATCTTAGGGTGCTGGTTATCAAATGCAGGGCCTTGCAAATGTTAGGTAAATAAATACTCTACCACCGAGATTCATCCAGCCCACAAAGAGAATTCTGGAAGAAATCAGGGGAAATAAAGCCTCGAGAAGCAAAGCTTTGATTGAAAACAATGTGGTGTTTCCATCAGTCTTCCCACACTTTTCATGTTATCATTGCCTCTCTGGCACTTTAGACTACCATGTCTGTATTATATTTTGTTATAGAAAGCTTTGTTTTAGAGTTCTGTTCATTTAAGAGGATGATTAAATATACATTTCCTATACTGTTGTCTGACTCATTTGTCAAACAAAGGAAGAGGAGATAGATTGAAATTCCATAGAACATGATTAAAGATTAGTAACAAGCACTTTCATAAATGTTTCTGAGTGAATGGAAGATAATGATGGGGGCCTGTGCATATGGGCTGAGTGTCTCAGTATAGTTTCTTAAGGAAATTCCACTGTGCTTATACTAACCTAGCATGTTTCAATGTGAGAAAATAGTGGTGGCACATAGATAGATAAGGACACATAGATGATGTAGATGTAGATATAAAGCTATAGATAGATGGCAGATAATAGATATATAAATACAGATATAGATAGAAACTATTAATTCTAGTATCAAAAAATCTCTTATTACTGAACAATTATCAAATTCTCAAATTTTAGAGCTGAAAGGGCCTCAGCTTTTCTAGTCCTTCCGGTTTTCAGATAAAAACCCATAGGTCCAGGTAGAAATGGCTGCCACTGGCTATCCTCAGGTTACACAACTTTCCAAGAGCCATACTGGTACTTGGTTGAAATATAAAATCTATAGAAAATTTAATTTCCAAAGGGTAAATTCCTAAGGGACTTTCCAAACAACTCCCCTACTGCATTCCCAGCCTGGTACCAAGAGACTTTTTGCAGAAAGAGGTTGTGTGAGTCAGCATTCTGTCAATATTTTTAAAATATTGGAGAAAATAAACTGAAAGAAGAAAAGACTTATTTTGGGCTGGCGATTTAGCTCAGTGGTATAAGCGCCTGCCTTGTAAGCATGAGGTCGTGAGTTTGATCCCTGGTACCAATAAAAAAAAAAAGACTTATTTTAGCTCATAGTTTTGAAGGTTTTTAGCCCATAGCATTTGGCCCTCTGCTTTTGGAACTGTAGTAAAGCAGAATATTATGGTATGGAGCATATTTTAGAGCAAAGCTATTCACCTCAACACAGCTGGGAAGTTGAGGGAGAAAAGGGGTGGGGGACTTAATATCGTCTTCAAGGTTATGCCTCCAATGATACAACTTCCCACCACTAGGCTCTACTCTGTAAACATTCTACGCCTTTCAGTAGTGCCTCAAAGTAATGACCAAACATTTAATATCCAAGCCTTTGGAGGACAGTTCAGACTCAAACCACAACAGACATAAAAACTGAGTCAAATTGAGAAAACATACACTCTTAACCCATGTGAATTCCTCAGCCTTGGCCATAAGCATGTGGAAGATGCACACACAATATATGGGTACATCAGAAAACAGATGCTGCTGTATACCATAAACATCTGCAAATATTCTAATCTAAATGCCAAAGGCTAAAATATTACAGGAGTACAAAAGCATTTGAAGGGACAAACAAGGCAAATTTCAAGGAGAAATAAGAGCCACCAGCTATATCTCTGTTGTATGAATGCATGTTTTAAGTGTAAAATGGCCTCAATCTGTGCATTATGAATTATGGAAGAAGGTTGTACAGGGTTTATTATTACATAATAAAATTTATGCTGCGCGGATTATATGGTGTGCTTTGGTTTTACTTATAATACATGTAATTCCTACCCTCCATCCTCCTGATGAAGTCATCACACATCTACCTGGCATGTTCTCGTTCAGACTGTCATAGTATGTACCTGAAGAATTTTTGCTGAATTACTCTCAGGAATATCAATATGGGGGTTATAGGTAAAACTAAACAGGCCAAAAGCATATACTTCCTCCCTTCTTTCTTTAAGTTTCAGCAAGATGCAGCAAAAATTCTTTGCACATGTGCTTTCTCTTAGTGCTCCAACACATCATACCCTTAATCCCTGCTTTAGTGTATGTATGCAACTTAGTACAATGTCATGCTTTACTTTTTTGTTCTTGGTCAGTTAGAGTCCCTCGGAGATGATGATAAAACAAGGATGAGGAGCCAGGCTACTTTTATAAATTAGCCCTATGAAAGAGGGTCAAGCAAATCAGTCTTGTCTACTGATGACATCTGTTGGGCCAGAACAGTTAAGTCACAACCTGGAACAGGAAGTCTGTAGTTACCGCTCTAGGCGCCCTTGGCTACTGGAAGACACAACTGTTCCATATGTTGTTATAGTCTGACTCTTGTAAAAACCGTAATTTTGACTTTCAGCTTTGTCTTTATTTCAAATCTAATTGCCTGGCCTAAAAGATATGCTTAGCATTTTCAATTATAAGGTCCTTTACCAAAACCCTAAATATTACTTGAAATACCAAGTTTATGGATACTTTGGTCCTATAAGCTTCCCTCAGAACAAGGAAAGTTATGCACATTTAATATCCTGTGAGCTGTTCATGGCAGGTGAAACTATTTCCTTTCTCTCTGATTTTCTGTATTTTCAGTTATCAAACTTTATTGGTAACCATTCCTGTGTCATTAGATAACTATTAAGATTTTAACAGATAAAATTATTGGACCTTATGGTATTTGATATGACTTTAGTGAGATGGTTCAAGATAGCCATATATGATTCAAGTGGTGAGTCTGTATCTTCTGCCTAAGGTAGGTGAGGCTGGATGTATGACACGGCAAGAGAGTAAAGGTAGCAGTTTCTGGTGAAAAGCAGCAGGTATCCCTAGAGAAACCTGACTTACATCTTTTTAAATAAGTCTCTAAAAGGCAAAAATGACAATTATGTTCAGTTCTTCTCACTTTCCCTTTAAATATTTTCCATTTTTCTACTATTATTTCCACCAATTCATTAGTCCCCCCAAAAGATGCTGTTTGTGAGAGAATGGTCTCAACTATCTTTTCATTAACATAATATGCTGTTCTACAGTAAATCTTTACTTCATTGGAGTAAAGCAATAAGAATAAAGGATAAAGAATCATGAAAATTTCAAATTAGTCAGAAATACTCAGCATATCAGTGCAGACAAGATTCTCAGTGCAGAAGCAGGAATCTTTTTTAGCCATACAGAGATTAGCATATCTATTCACTAATGCTGGACTTAAGAATCACTATGTATCTCAGTGAGAGTTTACTAGCAAAACACATGCAACCCAAGACATACTAATATACATGAATTTATAAGATTGGCTTACAGTGGTCACCCACAGAATCAGGTGAATCAGTCAAATCAGGTGAATCAGTTCAGTCTGCACACTGAACTCCAGAGAATTCAATCAAAATTTGCCACTTACTGCAGTGTCCTGTGTGAGTCGTATCAGGAGGCCCATGGGTCTGTGATGAAAGGCTGAAGAGTCTACGCTTGAAGGCTAAAGGATCTGCACGGGAAACTGAAGATCTGCTCTGGAAGCTAGGAGACGACATCCAAGGTGAAGGCAAAGATTGGAGTTCCTCCAAAAAACAGAAGCAAATCCATCCTTCTTCTTTTATGCCATCCAGGTGACAAACCACCACAGGGTGAGATATTGCTGAATCAATGTAGTTAAGCTTCTCTTACTCAAATTGACACAATTAATCAACCATCACATTGTGTAACAAGAGAATATGCTCTGTATATAAAACGTAACTATTGTAGGTATCTGAGGTTCACTGATGCAAGTACCATCTTTATAGAAGCAAAGGAAAATGAATGCCCACTATGTATTTAAACATAACACTCTATATTTCTCTCCTTTAAGCTTTATCCTATAAAGTAAATATCATTTGTCCCTAAGACCTTCACCTTCACCATTTTGCAGAGGAGAAACCCTGACAGGTTAAGTAGCACTTGTGATCACACAATGAACAGGTTAACTGAAATTCATACTATGTTTAAGGAGTATAGACATGGAAAATTCTCCTATATAACATTAAAAACATTATGTAACCAAAGGCTATCTTTCTTATTATCTGTATTCAAGTATAAGGATATTTTGGGAGCTTTCAGTCTTGTTGCTCATGAAGATCGTTAGTTTTTGTGAGGACAATGGAACCTCCCATACAGTTTCCTCAATAAGACTCATAAAGCTGGCAGTGAAACCGCAAGCTTCTCTCAAACTCATTCGAGGAACATATCCTGCGTTACGTTAATGTAATGAATAAGAAGTATATAGGTAAGCATAAACTGAATAAAGATACATATGTGTTGGAAAAATGCCTGGCTCCTTTTCTCACTTTAAACTCCTTTTCTCACCTCATCGATTTATAAGCCAAATGATTCTATGTACCTATTTTTGAGATCAGACCTTACTATACTCGGAACAGAGCTGCTGCTGCAGGAAAAATTTAACTTGCAGTCCTACTAAGTAGTATCTGCCTCATTCAATGACTATGACTGTTAAATGAAATAATAAAAAGCAAGTATTACATTGTATGGCTTATAACTTTGCTAAGACTGTGTTACAGCTTGTATCTAGATGTTCCCCCAAAGTCTCATGTCATTGTAGAGTGGGGCTTTTCAAAGGTGGGTGGATCTAGTAGTGTGTGATACTGGGATCAAGGATGAGGTGCTGGGATCGATTCACAATGCAATGCTAAGATTAAGGGTGTGAGTACTCTGTCTTAAAGATGAGTAGCCTGGGTAAAATACAAGAGGCAGAAAGAGAGCTGTGCTGTCCTTGCATGTCCCTTGTTGCTGCTGGTGATGCTGCTGCTCCTCTGCTTTGTGCCTCTACCTACCATGAACCATTTCTCCACTGTAATGCTCTTCTGCCCTGCCACCATGCTTTACAGTCAGCCAACTATGAACTGAAACCTCTGCAAACTGTGAGTTAAATAAACCTTTCCTCCTTTAATTTTGGTTGTCAGGAATTTTTATCTCAGCAACAAAAAAAGAACTAAAACAGTCTACCACACTGAAATATCATAGGTTGGGTGGTTTAAACAACAGAAATTTAGTTTTCATAGTTTTAGACTCTGGAAGTACAAAACCAAGGAATCAGCTAGGCCTCCTTTGGTAGTATAAATATCTTTCTTTTTTCTGTGTCCTCACAGTCCTTTTCTTTGTGTGAGTGTGGCCTGATATTTCTTCTTTATGGGAACATAAGTGAATTAGGTTCCATACATATGATATCAGTTAGCTGAATTATCTCTTTAAAGGCCCCATTCCAAATATATTTATTC